TTTCAAAGGTTTTCCCAAGCATAGAGGTGAGGCCAACTGGCCTGTAGTTACCTGGATCCTCCTTCCTCCCCTTCTTGAAAATAGGGACCACATTGGCCCTTTTCCAGTCCTCTGGGACCTGACCTGAACACCATGAGTGCTCAAACAGCCGTGCCAGTGGCTCTGCTATGACACTGGCCAATTCCTTCAGTACCCTTGGATGAAGATCATCTGGGCCTGCTGACTTAAACACATCCAGCCCCTGTAAGTGTCCCTTCTCTAACTTGGCGCTAACAGTTGATGGGCTGGTTCCCCTCCTGTGCTCATCTATAATCCAATTGGGAGATTATCCTGATCTGTGTTCAAGAATACAGAAGCAAAAAACTCATTGAAGAGCTCCGCTTTGTCTCTGTTATCTGTCATCAATTGCCCCAGTCTGCCCTGTAGGTTTCCTATATTACCCTGCACCTTCTTTTTGCTCCCTATATACATGTAGAAGGGCTTTTTATTGTCTTTAATTTTTGTTGCCAGCTTAAGTTCCATTGCAGCTTTGGCCTTTCTAGCTGCCTCCTTGGAAGCGCAAGCCAAGTAGGTATACTCCTTCTTGGTAGCTATCCCCTGCTTCCACAATCTGCATGCCTCTTTTTTTTGCCCCTAGGCTTTCCTGGATTTCACTGTTCAGTCCAGACGGTTTCTTGGTCCATTTGCCCCCTTTCATGCACAATGGGATTGTCTCCTTCTGAGCCCGAAGGATTGCTCCCTTTAGGAATAACTACCCTTCCTGGACTCCCATCTCACCAATACCCCTGATCATCAGTGCCTCGCTAACTAATCTCCTGAGCATATTGAAGTTGGTCTTTCTGAAGTCTAGCACTTCTACACTACTGCTTATCTTTCCCACCCATCGCCAGATAGTAAATTCAATCAGTTGATGGTCACTATTCCCTAGGCTACCTTGTATCTGCTGATCCCCCACCAGGTCATCCCCTGTAGCCAACACCAAGTCCAAAACCAGCTGCTGGTGAGTTGGATGAAGCCCCAAGATGCTCCCTTGCTCTGTCAACATAGACTCCCTTCTCAAGAAAGTAAAATAAAAGTCACCAATTGTTTTCCTATATTTCTCAATGTGAATGACTCAGTAATTGCTGTTGATATAACAAGGCCCAGGGCAGCTCATTTAAAGGGAAACTACTTGATGCTGAGGACCCAGGTGCTGCCTCTTTTTGCTGATGCTAATTCCAGGTGGACGGAAAAGAACAAACACTGGAAAATCTTCCATTCATTAAACATTTAGGTAAACTTGTTTTGTAGTGACATGAATGTCCCTCTACTGCTTGAACTCAGGGAGGAAATGACATTGTCTTCAAACCCTTCCCTCTGGCTCTGCCCAGCTGGTCCACACTGGAACAATCAATAATAGGTGTGTTGCCTCATGGTGACACAGGTGATGGAAGAACCATGCTGCTTTCACCTTGAGATCAGAGGACATGTTTAGGGCCTAGAGGCTTACTACAGCGCTGGTTAGAAGTAGGTGCCATTCTGTTTCATCTAATGAAACTGTGTCTCTTGAGAGTAGTGAGGAAATTGACACTTAAAATTTGGATCTGTTCTCTGGCTGATAGAGCAGACTTGTGGCACCTGATGAAAATGCTCTCAGCCTTCCAGTCCAACCCAACTTATGCAAGTGGGTTAGTGTGACAGCTCCCACACATGTGTCTCCTCGGAAGCCAATCAGCCCATCCAAACAATAGTCCACAACACTTTCAATAACCCTTGCCCAAAACAACAAGCAAACAAGCCCAAGCAAAAACCTTTGGTCTTTCAGACAAGGGCCCTTCGGTTCTGGCCCTCCCTGGGATCGAGCTCTTCTGAGCTTCAGACTGCCTTTGCACTGCAGACTGCTTCTCCCCCAGCTCCCTGCTTGGGCTTTTCACTGCCAGCTAATCCCGCAAAGATGGCCTCCTAACCCAGGCCTGACTGCCCCACTTAGCGTTTCAGACCACCCTGTTACAAGGACTCGTTGGTTCCCAGAGGCAGGAGGTTTGATTGCCTCTTACCCATCTCCTAGGTAAGTTCCTGGGCCGCTCGCTAGCACATGTCCGCTCGTGAGAACAAGGATGGTTTGGTCTCTCACATCAGGATCAGTAAATCCCTAGTTTTTGGTTTGCTGTTTGAATGTAAAAGTTATCTAAGCAGGGAGGAGGGCCAGGGCACCTCAGAAGCAGGCTCCTGCCAGATGACCCAAGGCACTACTCCAAAAAGGTGTAAAAGGCCTCAGTTTCCTGAAGTTCCTGGAACTGTCCCCCAATATTTGTTACCAGAGAACATGGCCCCATGACTTGTCAGTACCAACTCATTTCAACC